TATAAAGAACTGGATGACATAGGTACATTATAAACAATCACGTAGCCAGAATTTGCTACATAGTATATTGTTTTTCGTGATTATACTGTTTGTAAATAGATCAGGTTGGATATACTATATATTCAACTTTATATATAGTGCTGGGCAATAATATAGTTACATTTTGTGATGATATAAACAATCACACGGCTAAGATTTGCTATAGTGTACAGTATATATTGTTTTAGTTGAATCTACTGTATATATGTAATGTGACTCATTATACTAACTAAATATTAGATTATATTACTAAAAATTTGAAAAAGTATAAAATAAATGATGATGCCTTTAATGTGGAATCACTCATTATACTAACTAAATATTAGATTATATTACTAAAAATTTGGAAAAGTATAAAATAAATGATGATGCCTTTAATGTGGAATCTGTGTTTAAGTGATTAAGTATATTTTACAAAGTTGTATCCAGATTGACTCTTGTTTTAGTTATAGGTGCTCAGAGATTTTCAGGCATGTGTATCAGATGGAAGCTTTGTCTCTGCCCCGTAAGACCATAAAAAACCCACACTCGTCATGGTAAAAGCCCCTAGTCCAAACAACTTTCCTCCCATACTCAGTGTCCACACCTTTCCATGTCGCCTCAGTAGAGCCTGCTAAAGCTCTCCGCTCCTTTATCTCTCCGGACAGCTCAGGTCATCACGTCTGTGTCGCCATATTTAGACACGCCATATTTTCTAAAAGTGCAGATGTCTGCATAAAACATTTTCTATTCAAACTTCCAGCGAAGGCGCTGAACCCTGAACCTGAACCCAGACGCGCAGATCAGTTGTTTGAAACCGGCTTCTCAATGTAAACTCCTTCCCGCCTCTGAATCGGGCTCGGTTACAGAGGAGGTACGGACCGTGTGCTGTGTGTATTTACCCTGGTTAAAGATGTTATTTCTACCACATGAGCCGACGCTGGGAGAGCCTGCGTTTAAATGTAATCATACTTAGTGAACTGATCACAGGCGATCTGCTGTAACGGGATACGTGTGTAGCCGGGTAAAGATGCTCGCCGCTCCGGAGGAGTCGAATGGGAAGATATGGTGGATGGCTGGGCTTTATTTGTGTTGAGATATGAGATGTTGTCCATGTCACACGTGTGATGTCTTCCTCCACATGTGATCTGCTCTGCTCAGACTGTGTGGTTTTTAGCCAAGCCCCACAGATGGAGTCATTTCAACCCCTCTAAATATGATTGGTTAGTCTGAAGGCTAGTTCTGTCATGACAACTCTCGGAAAGATTGGCATGGTAATGCCCCCCCCCCCCAAATTGGACTTTATAACTCACAATTACGAGTTTACATCACACAATTCTAAGAGAAAAAGTCAGAATTCCGAGATATAAATTTGCAGTTGCGAGAAAAAAAGTCAGAATTGTGAGATAGGCCTACAAACTTGCATTTGCGAGAAAAAAGTCAGAGTTTGTCACACAATTCTGACTTTATTTCTTGCAATTGCGAGTTTATATCATGCAATTCTGAGAAAAAAATTCAGAATTGCGGGTTTATATCTCGCAATTCTGACTTCACTCGCAATTGCGAGTTTGTGTCACGCAATTCGTAGAAAAAATAATTGCGAAATAAAAAGTCGCAATTACCTTTTTTAAATTATTTATTCAGTGGCGGAAACGGGCTTCCGTAAGTTTGTCTGTATTAATGCGCTGGAAAAGCAGGCCGGCATCAGGTGAAATAATAACACACGACACCGAACTCGACGTGCTTGTCAAATGCACTGTTTGGTTTCACTTTGAGATAACACATTTCATTCATTTGCATTATTCCTGTGAACTGCGGCAGCTAAATGCCAAATAGATAAAAAGAAGTGTCCTTTAGCCTTGAAACCACTTCCTTTTTGGGATTCCTTTGCATAATGAGCCTTTGATAAGGCACTTTGGGGAATGGGAGGGGAAGTGAATGCAGTGAGCAGCACCATGAAATACCCAATTCATCACAGTCACAGTTTAAAGGAACAGTGGGCAAAAATAAAATTCCGGCTATTTACTCACCTCCATGTTGTGCTTTATTTTAGTGGAACTTAATATATCTGTCATAGCTTTCGCATCTCATTTGAATATGCAGATTTGGTGCATCACGATTGGTTATGAGACACCAATGGCATTTGGCTTCAGGCTAATGCACGTTAAATGAAAACTGCTGGTTATATGGATCAGCAGATTCTTTTATTTCATTTGAGATGTAACATTTACACAAAACTTTCATCTAGAAAAGCATACAAGGAGGGTTGTAATACCATTTTAGTGCATTTTGAAGATTCTTTTCCCTTTTAATAAGAGTACTCATGGAAATAAAAATGATATACTTAAGCGCGAATTGAATGTAATTTTTCAGACACTTTTCTTGCAATTTTTTTCTTGCAGTTTAAATTTATATTAAATGCAATTAGTTTAACTTTTTTGACCCACTTTTATATAATTATATTTTTTTATTTAATTTCATAAATATTCTTGAAATATGGTTAAAGTGTGTTGCCAAATGTACTGACAAGCATGTATGATAAGCTAAAATATACTTTAATGTCATTTTTATAAAAATTTGTGTTATGCATTTAAATATATTTGTAATTACACATTTGTAATGATTAAGTTGCAATTCAGTACATGTAAAACATATGAACTTTCTGTAATATCAAATAACACACTACCATTAAAATTATAATCAAGTGCTTTAGTATATTGGTCAACACGTCAAAATAAGTGTACTTCTTTAAAGCATGATTCATTTTTATAAAAATTTGTGTTATGCATTTAAATATATTTGTAATTACACATTTGTAATGATTAAGTTGCAATTCAGTACATGTAAAACATATGAACTTTCTGTAATATCAAATAACACACTACCGTTAAAATTATAATCAAGTGCTTTAGTATATTGGTCAACACGTCAAAATAAGTCTACTTCTTTAAAGCATGATGAAAGATTAATAAAGTAATTATTTAAATTGTCATTAAATTTGGCATTATTACAAAGTGCACTTTGTGTGTTAAGAAACAGCCATGAAAGTGTCTCTCTTTAAGTGGCTTTTTATTTAATTAACATTATATTAGTTACAGTTTTTTAAAAATATATACGTTTAATATTTTAAGTACACGACAAGAGCACATTCAATAAAATTAAGTGCACTTCTTTATCACAGGGGTGTTCACTATTCATTTGCATTGTGTGGAAAAGAGCAACGTGAGCATTCTACTAAACGTCTCATTTTGAGTTCCACAAAATAAACTCATACAGCTTGACCATTTTCATTTCTGGGTGAACTGCCCCTTTAAAATTGAACACAGATTGACAATGCATGACATATGTCAAAGCGTATATGCCATTCGAAGTTGTTGCAATAATAATTCGTAGGATGTGACCTCGGGCATCTATTCAACTCGGAGGTCCGAGGGAGTCCGGCCACACCAAACTGAACTGTGAACTTGCAACTTCCCGTGCTGTAGGCGTCTGTTGCTAGGAAACAAGTGGCCCACTCTGTCAATTTCAGCTGGGGTGAAATGCAAGTGTTTTTCTTCACTTTTTTTCTATGAGCTTTGGCTGGCCATCTTTTATTGATGTACAGTTTCCTTTGAGTCGCAATGAGACTTTCTGTGGGCCAGGACACTTTCAAAAGAGAGGAAATGGGGGTGTGTTCGGAGGTCAAATGGTCCCTTTTGTGGGGCTCCTGGGGGACAATGACAGTGGGGTGATGCTATGTGGGGGCGAAGGGGTGAGATCCTTTGGGACAGACAGGTCTGGGGAGGGGAGATGCTGCATGCTGCCAGAGCCCATGCGGAAAAGTCCAGCACAAATATACGGCAGAGGCAGAGAGAGATCATCAATTTTTAACCACGCTTCGTACTGTATTCTTTCTAGCGCAGCATAAGCAAACAAGTTCGCCCCAAGGGCTGAAATTTGAATAAGCAAATTCTTGCTCCTGATGTTTTTAATGAGTGCAGATGCAACAGAGTAGACTGGCTTTTTATGGCAGCCAAAAACGAGGCCACAAAATAATTACTTTCCTTGTCAATAGCGGGGAAGACTGTAACGCTAAATAAATAAGCAATAAAAGCACAATGAGCTTATACCCTTGTCATAGCAGGTATGTGCAAGAACAAATTCAATCCTCCACCTTCTTCCAAAAAATAGACAGATAGTACAGTACAATAAGAATTCATTTGTAAACAATAGTTAACATGAACCAACAATGAAAAGTACTTCTAAAGCATTTTTATTCTTAGTTCATGTCAATGTCAACATTTAATAATATGTTATTAAAATCAAAAGTTGCATGTTTATATTATAGTCTAATATGAACTAACAATAAACAGTTATATTCTTATTAACTAACATCAACTATGTTTTTACTATATATATATATATATATCAGTATATCTTTAAGTAAAAATCATGTTTTTTATTTTTTATTTATTTATTTAATGATTTTATTTTTAGTTTGGTGCTATAATTTATTTTTTATTAAATTACTACAATGTATATTTTTTCAAAATCCCTCCTTCACAAGTTGCATATAGTATCAGATTCAAATAAGTTATTTAAATAAGATTATTAAATTAAGATGGCATTGGTAATGACAGCTGATATGACTTTTGAGGCAATCTTTAATGAACAGTTTCAGAATAACAAAATAAAAGAATAAATGAACAAAACCATAAAGTGTTACAGTTTCCTGGCTCTCCCTACTTTGTAATTCAGTGGGTGTTTCTGCAATCATCCAGTGAATCATCCATCATTGTATTGTAAAAACCAGCTTAACTTACTGATATTCTGTATTTTCTCACAGAAATATCACACTTGATAGTGCAGTCCACCTGCTTTGGTCATGTATGTGTCTGCCGTTTTTTCATTTTATGCTTTAAACTTTTCATGCTTGCTTTGTTAGTGAAGTGGGAAGTTGCCAGATTCATCCTTATTTTGTGTTCTTATTTTGCATTTGAAAGGACCACCCATTGGGCTCGGAGGAGAGAGATTCCCTGCACGCCGCCTCTTTGGAATATTAATGGGCTTCTCCTGGGAAAACTGCCCACAGAATAGGCCACTCCATCGCTGTCTCTGTTTCCGCTCAGCTGTCCTGAGGGTACGTGAGGGTGTTCGGTACAATCCGGTCTGGAGAAACCTCAAGTACACCTCAAACTTTTGTTTTGATGTTTCATTAAGAACTCTTGAAGTTGAACATTTCTTTTTTTCCCCCCATAATATATTACCGCTTTTATTACACAATAAAAAGCACAGGAACGGCTACATTTATGATGTCAAATTCCTCAGTCTCAACTTTATAACCGCAATCAATAAGAAGACACATTGATTGAAATGAGGGGGCCATTAGCACGTGAGGGATTGAGAGAGGTGACAATGATGCCGATCACCACTGGTTTTCATCACCGGAGCTGCATAGTTCTTTCCCACTCGATGGCTGAAGCCCAGACAACTCATCTGTTTCGGCGTTATGAGACTGACCGTCCTAATGGCTTCTACAGATGGCAGAGCTCGCTGAAGTCATTGCTCTTTTCTTTCAATCCCTTTTGCATTCTTTATCTGTATTTGTGTCTCTGTCACTTGCTTTCAGTCATTGCACCATTTCCTCTGCCCCAGTCGGGGTCTCTGAGGTGAGCGCTGAGTTTTCGGCATATTTATGTGAAGAATCTGTTTTTTTACCAGCCTGCCAAGCTGTGAATGAAATCAGATGAATTTGAAATGTAGGGAGGGCAATAACTAATGGTGTTAGAATGCTGAAAAAAAAAAGTATTATATTCATATAATTTATATTATATATAAATTTATTTAATATATATAAACAACATATTTTCTGAAATATATGCATGTGTGTGCATTTATATATACATAAAAAATAAACACAGTACACACACATATATTATGTAAACAAAAACGTATTTTGTATGCGATTAATCGTTTGACAGCACTAATATATATACAACCATTCAATAGTAATATTTTATAGTAATATTTTTTTAAATGTTTTGAGTCTCTTATGCTCACCAAGGATACATTTATTAGACAAAAAATACTGTAAAAATTGTAATATTTTTAAATATTGTTTCAATTTAAAAGAACTGTTTCCCATGTGAATATATCTGTGATCAAAGCTGTATTTCCAGCATCATTACTCCAGTCTTCAGTGTCACATGATCTTCAGAAATCATTCTAATATGCTGATTTGCTGCTCAAGAAACATTTCTGATAATTATTAATAAAAACATTTGTGCTGCTTCATATTTTTTAGTGGAAACGTGATGCAATTCTTAGATTTGTTTTTTTTTCCTTTACAGCATTTATTTGAAATAGACATGTTTGTAACAATGTACAACCTGATCAATTTAAATAAAATGATTAATTTCCCTGAAATTTTGAATGGTAGTTTATAGAATATATGGCGATGGATGGATGGATGGATTAGATAGATAGATAGATAGATAGATAGATAGATGGTTGGTTGGATGGATGGATGGATGGATGGATGGATGGATAGATAGATAGATAGATAGATAGATAGATAGATAGATAGATAGATAGATAGATAGATAGATAGATAGATAGATAGATAGATAGATAGATAGATAGATAGATAGATAGATAGATAGATAGATAGATAGATAGATAGATAGATAGATAGATAGATAGATAGATAGATAGATAGATAGATAGATAGATAGATAGATAGATAGATAGATGGATGGATAGATGGATGGTTTTCAAGGACATTTCCCAATCTAGAGAGAGTTAAGTAAGTAATTTTGCAGTTTGTGCATATTTTACACAGAAATGTCCCATCTCATATCCTGGGTAAATGTTAGTTTTGTGGGCATAATAATTTAAAACTGGCCCTGTATTGAAACAGCTGGGACCAATAGACCTCTGACCCTCCACTGGATTGCTGTGGGCTGCTGTTCCTGTCGTCTCTCCTTCACATATGAATTAGATGTTTATTAATACTGTTTACAAAGGGAATGCTGTTTTTTATTGAGCTTATAATGGAACGTGACTGCAATCAGAGAAACCCTGGTGCGAAGCGTGACGGTACGTTCAGTATCACTACTGTGCCATTTGTAAATTGACGATTCTAGTGTTAAAGCCAGAAGATGTTTGTTGTTTCTGGTTTTGTAATTACACACCAGCACAGATGATGCAATCGCAAAACAGAGCTGAAAATGACAATAAATCAGTAGAACATGATGTCTTTGGCATGACGGGCTTGTCGATATTTCCCTTTGCTGACCGTTTAGAGGAACAAGCCTAGGGAACCACATAGGAAAACCAAACGCTGTTTTTCTTTCCGTTTTCACACTAACAATGCGAGTGTTATAATGTGCTGACTATAAGGCCCTCCTGCTGTTTCATCTGCGAGAGGGAGGCAGTGCTTGCGCAAGAAAACTAACGTTCGTCATTACCGAAGACATTCCACCCCCTAAGGCTAAACACAAACCATACATATTCATGTAGAAGCATAACTAGACGCAGATTATGAGAAAATAACAAGCCGTAGGTGTCTGTTTTATGTTTTATTCTCACTTTTATTGCAAATATAATACAAAAGATGAGCTTCTTCAAAGGCAGTAAAATGTTAAACTTTTTAAAGACAAAAAAACTTGTTCAGTCTTGTGTAAAAAAGATACCAACATCAGTTCTGAGATGGCTGATACTGAGTATAGCACAAAATCGGAAAGGGAAATGTATAAGCAAACAAAGATGCCAACTAACTAACTACTTAAAAACAACTACAGCTTCAAATTAGAGCATCGTAAAACTTTCCAAATGAAAGACTACTCTTCCAGTTATTTTAGAAACTGCAACAGTATTTTGTGCATGACACAACTGGTTAGAAATAAGGACAAATAAACATTTAAAATAGAAAAATCTACATACGATAAATAAACATGATGAATACAGAATTTTATCATATTAAGTACCAGCCCTCTGTCTAAATGGAACCATTGGGTTATATGTCACCATATTCAGAAGAGCAAAATAACAATTCTTTTTTTTTCATATAAAGTATTAAAGAATAAAATGCAAATAATTTCTTTGAAATAAAATTAATACTAATAAATAAATTAAAGGGGTTAAGATGGGATACAGAAGGAGGGGCTGTAAGATGACACCTGCACGACTGCAGGCAGCTAATGACAAGCAGAGGTCAAAGGGCACTTCCTGGAGCTGCGACACATGCTGTTAGACACTCAGTAAATTCTCAGCTGCCGCTGCCACGTAGATATTCCCGCTAACTCGCTTCCAACATTTGACAGGCACTGATGCTGGTTGGGGATAAAAGCGTGAATGAGAGCTGGTTAAAAAAAACAAAAAAAAAACACGGTTGGATAGGAATGATATTTTACAGGAACATAAATAAAGGGCACAGAGTCAAACTATCAAACATAAAATGCACCGCATAAGGACTAGGGTGTTACTGATGGAAAAGACAAGAAATGACTACCAAGAGTGGTTTAGTAAAAATAGACTTTTCTACAAGAAACACAGAAGGCCGGAAATACAAAAAAAGAACATGTTAAGAAAACATACACAGTACATATTAAAGTATCAATAATCAATAAGTCCTCACAGAGGAATCATTTCTGAAAAATGTTTATTTTCTTGCAAACAAGGCTAAAAATATATATATATATATTCTAATCACAATTTCAGGCGATTAAAAGGCACGTCGGGAGCCGTTTTGTTTTTTTCTTGAAGTCCAGCTTTCTTTCCTACATTTCATTGTTTCATGTGTGTGTGTGTGTGTGTGTGTGTGTGTGTGTGTGGGCAATTCAAGTGTGTGTTAAAGAGAGTGGATCCCAGGTGAAAAAAAGTGCACTTCCATAACATACTTAAAGTGCTCTATTTCCACGCACTAATTTTGTACTTAATATACTAAAAATGATTCTTTAGTACTTCTTAAGATAAACTTAAGATGTGTACTCAACTGTGCTATTTTGGGACACCATGAATATTAACTTAAATGCACTTTTAACATACCATCTCTGTATTTAAAAAAATGTATTCAGTTACCACTTCTAGAACCATCTTTTTAAACACTAGTACATTCAAGTGTATTACAAACGGTGACTAAATACATTTTTTAAATACAGAGATAGTATGTTAAAAGCGCATTTTAGTTTATATTCATCGTGTCCCAAAATAGCACAGTTGAGTACACATCTTAAGTTTAGTGCGTGGCAATAGAGCACTTTAAGTACATTATGAAAGTGTACTTTTTTCACTTGGGGAATGATGCGGAACGAGTCCCATCTGCTCAGGGTCTGGAGAGCTGTGTGTAGACCGGCTGCTGGTCCCAATGCTGGGGACTGTGGTTGGGTTGGGGAATGGAAGGAACCCCTGCAGTGTCAGCGATGGGTGTGTACATGGGCCTCATGTAGCTGAAGGTGGAGTACAAGCCGGAGCTCTGACCTCCAGCGTGGGTGTAATAGGAGTTGGCGCCGCCCTGGTGGTCGGAGTAATCGTACTGCGCCCTGGTGATGGATGGAAATGAAGTGCTGTAGTGCTGGAGGTGCTGGACATTGAAGGAGCCGTAGCTGGCTTGCTGCGGAGAACCCTGATCGTTGTAGTGGCTGGGGCTGAGTTGCTCGGTTTTGATGTGCGTCGCTCTCGGTGGCTCTTGTTCTCCAGTAAGCTGGGCGTTTGGAGGGCTGCCGTTTTGAGGCTTCCCCATCCAGGTGGCATAGTAGGATGCGTTGGTGGCATGCCCATTCGGCGGCAGGTACTGATCAAACTCGTTGACGTCGAACGTTTCGATGACGTCGTTGCTGAGCTCGCCGATGTCCACGTCGCGGAAGTCGATGTTGAGCGGGCGTCCCGTGCTTTCCTGAAGCGGACGGGCCTCTCGCTTCAGATCCACTTTGCCTGGCTGCGCGTCAGTTTTCGGAGTGGTGGGAGGAGTGGGAGGCCCTTGGGACTGGCCTGTTTGGAAACGGTGGAGGAGGGGAGAGAAGTTAGAGCGCCGGTTAAGAGATGACGCAACAGCGAGAGCCAAGGAAAACAACTGAGATAAACTCGAATTGTCAAATGATTACTCCCGATTAATCGCTTCTAAAATGTTGGTTTATGTAATGTCTATATTTATTATGTTTATATAAATACACACACATGCATGTATTTATTTAAGTAAAATCTGTTATGTTTATATATTATATATATTTATATTATATGAATATAAATATATACATGTTAATATTTTCAAAATATATACTGCATGTGTGTGTGTGTGTGTGTGTGTGTTTATATATACATAATAAATATACACAGTACACCCAAATGTGACCCTGGAACACAAACCAGTCATAAGGCGCTGGGGTATATTTGTAGCAATTTTTTTTATGCCAAAAATCATTAAGGTATTAAGTAAAGATCATGTTCCATGAATATATGTTGTACATTTCGTACTGTAAATATATAAAAACTTACTTTTTGATTAGTAATATGCATTGCTAAGAACTTAATTTGGGCAACTTTAAAGATGATTTTCTCAATATTTAGGTTTTTTTTGCACCCTCAGATTCCAGACTTTCAAATAGCTGTATCTCGGCCAAATATTGTCCTATCCTAACAAACCATCTTTCAGCTTTCAGGTGATGTATAAATCTCAATTTGTAAAAAAAAAAAAGAAAAAAAAAAAAGACCCTTATGACTGGTTTTGTGGTCCAGGGTCACAAATATATTATGTAAACAACAACTTTTATTTTGGATGCGATTAATCGTTTGACAGCACTACTCGATTTCGCCCACCTGAGTGCTCGCTGGGCGAGTGCACCTCTCCCATGCTGGACGCGGGCGAGTCTGCTTGCTGGAGGGCTTTGAAGAGGACGTTCGGGGAGATGTGAGTCTGCTCGCTGCCGTCCTCAGACTCGCTCTGGCCGTTCTTCACCGACTTCCTCCGCCTGGGCTGATACTTGTAGTCAGGGTGATCTTTTTTGTGCTGAACCCTGAGGCGCTCAGCCTCCTCCACGAAGGGACGCTTTTCGCCCTCGTTCAGCAATCTGCCAATGAACACAGCAGTTAATCTTACAGTGCATACTTATACTATTGTGTAGACTGCATGCAATTGCATGCACCTTTATGCATATGAATTATTGGAAATACAGTAGTCAACATTTGAAGTGGATCAAATCTGTTCGTCAAAGTTCATCAAATCAAAACAATACCCGTTCTTGTCTTAGGACAACTTTGATCAACTTTTTTGATCCACTTCAAATGTTGACTACTGTCATTAATTGCAAATTTAAATCTGCCAGTGAATCTTACAGTGCATACTGTTACTATTGTGTAGACTGCATGCAATTGCATGCACTATGCATAAATGCAAAAACTATACATATGCATAAATGCAAAAAAAAAACAAAAAAACATTTACCTCCAAAGTTTGCCCAGAGTTTTGCTGAGCTCGGCGTTGTGGAGATGTGGATACTGATCCGCGAGCTTCCTGCGCGCCGCTTGCGCCCACACCATAAACGCGTTCATCGGTCTCTTCACGTGAGGCTTGTTTTTGCTCGAGCCGTTCACTCTCACCGGCATGGGCACCAGCGTCCAGTCGTAGCCTTTCAGCACCTGAGACACCGCCTCTCGGATGCACACCGGGAACTTGTCGTCTTCGTCCTTCTTGAACTCGCCGAGCGTCGCGTCCGGAGCCGCGAGGCGGGTGTTCTCGGCGTCGGAGCCCGAGCCGGAGCCTGGGGAGCCCGCGGATTCCTCGGACATGCTCGGACTTGGGGCATCAGACAGACACTTCTCTTGCTCCTCTGTCATTTTCAGGTAGGGATCTAGTAGATTCATGCGAAGACTGTAGATGGACGATCTCAGAGAATTGGTGCGGCTGCGCGTTTCGCCTCCCCAAAATACGTTCCAACTACGTTCCTGCAAATCCACTGAATCGCGGCGCTCGCTTTCAGAGGGCAAGCGTTTGAGGGTGTTCTGCTGGTGTTTGCAAAAGCAAAGCGCTCCCTGCGCGCTCCTGTGTAGTATTTCCAAGAGAGAGACGAACTTTGGTTTGTCAGCTGAGCGCGCATTGGCTTTTAAACCCGACGCGCCGTGACGACAAGGAAAACGATGCCTGCTCGTGCCCACCCCTCCCTCACTCTCAATAATTATCACTCACAATTTAACATTTCAGAAATCTGCTTCAGAAAGCACTGTTTTCATAAGAAGCGCTTGTTGGAATCTCTTACTGCTGTATTCTGAAAACGCGCAAGTGCGCAGCCGGAAAATGTTTATCTTTAGGGTCGTGCAAAACAACACACACACACACACACACACACACACACACACACACACCACGCAAGACTTCAAGCGTTTGCAAACAATCAAACGGGCTTAATATTCAAGCCACTGGCTTTAATTCGTTTATTTATTGACTAATTTTGGACGGAAGCGTTACTCAGTCAGTGACTCAGCCTTAAAGCTTTCCACTCGCACTAATTCCTTCTTTTCGATAGGTTTGGAGAAGTTGCAAATATTGTTGCATCTATTAATCGAGTCAGGCAGTCCAGAGATGGTGTCGGAGTGATTCGCTGGGTGTTTTCATGAAACTGACCGATAGGGGGAGACAGAGTTCTGTGCTCAGTTCGCTTCAGTCCATTAGTGCTGGTCAGACTTGCAGAGTTTGTCTGTGTATAATAATGCAAATATTGGTCATGAATTCCTGATTAAAAACAGCTAACGTCTCTGTATTTCCACATTCACAGGGGGAAGTCGTGGCCTAATGGTTAGAGAGTCGGACTCATAACCCAAAGGTTGCGGGTTCGAGTCTCGTACCGACAGGGATTGTAGGTGGGGGGAGTGAATATACAGCACTCTCTCCACCTTCAATACCACGACTGAGATGCCCTTGAGCAAGGCACCGAACCCCCAACTGCTCCCCGGGCGCCGCAGCATAAATGGCTGCCCACTGCTCCGGGTGTGTGTTCACAGTGTGTGTGTGTTCACTGCTGTGTGTGTGCACTTAGGATGGGATAAATGCAGAGCACTAATTCCTAGTATGGGTCACCATACTTGGCCACATGTCACGTCACTTTTTCACTTTTTTATTCAGAGGGAGACTGGGGAGTGTTGATACATTCTGTTTAAATATAACAGTTTATTCTGTTTATATAATAGGCCTATACTTTAGGCCTATACTCTACAGAATAAAGTAATCTTGAAACCTACAGATCATCCCTAAATTGTTTAAATTTGTCAAGTACACTGTGATATTTCAACCTCCCCAACTTCCATTACGCTAACAGAAAACAGACATTTTACATTGTATTTTATTTGTAATTTATTTAATCCATGCATTTATTGTGGCAATCAAATTGACTTGTTTAGAACCACCTCCTCTCCGTTTCACCTTAAAACTCTAAATTAAAAATATAAATGCATAATACACATTGTTAAGCTCTTTTTAATTTAGTTTATAATTTTATTTTATTTATACACATATTGTGGTGCTCATGTGTTAAACTGATTTCACCCTGTAGCTCATTTCTAAAAGTGATGAAAACTGATGACGTTTTACTCACTTGGATCGACTGAAGAGATCTTTCAGGATTCATTTTTGTGCAGACTTTCAGTTGCATATGCTTGTGTAAACTGCAATAATAATAATAATAATAATAAAAAACTCACAATAAAAGGCAACTGACGAGCGTTTTGTAGTATGCAGATCTTTGATTAAGGCTCAGCTTCCACATACAGAACGTGAACTGTGAGTGTTTTGATTCGTCCTCGCTCCGACACACAGCGTTTATTTTCACTGGATGTGTTTATTTAAATTATTCACTTCAAGCATAAACATAACAGAACTTTTAGGACCTTCGTCAATAGCACATTCCCTTTTCTGTTAACAGCATGCTGCTAATGAAGGAGAGGCTTCGTTTATTTATTGTAATGCGGACTTAAGCGAATACAGGAGTGAATGACAGCTTTTCAACTTTGCATACGCTTATCAAGCCATCTTTTAACAACTGCTCGATTTTATTTTGCATTAAGCTCCTGTTAGCTGCTGGCAGCGACAATACTATTACCTCTGATACAGCCAATTAGATAAGTGTTACCACATTTGCGCTATAACAGTAACTTGTGCTTTAAAAGTTTCACTAACCACTGGCTTTACGAAGGTGTTCAAGTAATAAAATGTTATGGGAGTGCAACTTCTGATTAACTTATACCACCTGTTAAGCAGAACTCACATCTGAGTCACAAATAGCGATTGCAGTCAAATGAGACGCTGATTTCACACAAGATACACCTACACCACATCCTGTCAAAAACTAAAATGTTTCAGGAACAGATGGCAAAAGCGGTGCATTTTTTATGAACTCTATATGTTAATTTGATCTGTTTTGTCTTTACCATATTTTTATTTTGTTGGCATTATATTTAGTTTAAGTTTCAACTCAGTAAAAAACTTATCAATCAGCCAATGTTAACCAAATCCGTCACAGTTACATTAAAGCAATGATCATTTACAGGGCTAAGCATCCTACAAAAGGCCTTGGGAAACTTGTCATCTTTTCTTGGAGTGGAGGTGTGAAGATTTTGTGCAAACATTAGAGGTATACTGGCAAGCCATGTTTGCCATTTCTTTGTCTCTGAGGTGTTTAAGGAGCATTCTCGTTTCTCTTTGTGCTATTCAGAAGTTCTTGTTTTTGGCACAGAAACGGTCCACCACTAATTAGACTTTAAGAACAAACTGGCTTATGTTGTCTGTGAAGTCAGGCGCTAGTTTGATAAACGTGACTTTTTCTAGTATTTTCTTCACGGAGACCAGAAGTATAGAAACTCTAACTCTAACTTTACTAACTTCTGGCAGACTTTGTGGCCAAACATGCCAGTGCTTTTTACTGAAAATAAAGTTATTCAGAATATGAGAAACGGTCACAAAGGTTGCACTTATGACATATAAAGTCGTAATTCAAGAAATCAATTTGCAGTTGTGATACATAAAGTCATATTACACAATAAAACATCACAATGCCAAGAAATAGTCACAATTGTGAGAGTCACATTGTAAGAAATAAAGTTGTAATTGTGAGATATTGTCACACTGCAAGAAATAAAGTCACATTGCGAGAAATAAAGTCGTAATTGTGAGCTATAAAGTCACATTGTGAGAAATAAAGTCGTACTTGTGAGATATAAAGGGTGTATTCACACCTGTCTTGTTTGATTTGATTGAATTGAACTCAAGTTCGTTTCCCCTCTTGGTGCGGATCTTTTGGGCAGGTGTGAATACAGCAATCGCACTCGGGTGCGGATCAAACAACCGTACCAAGACCCAGGATGAACCAATGAATGGATGACCTCAAGCACACGTGTGGTTTTGTTTACAGCTTCTGGTTCACTTGCAAAAAGGGCAGTGTGAAAGTGAACCGCACCAAACAAAAAAAAATCTACATTGTATTTGGTCCGGACCAAAGCAAGTGAACTAGCGGACGTTCCTGGTGTAAATACACCCAAAGTCACATTGCGAGAAATAAAGTTGTAAATGTGAGATATAAAGTCACAATGCGAGAAATAAAGTGTGTGTGTATATGTGTACAGTGTGTGTGTGTATATATATATATATATATAAATGTAATGGTCTGTGTCGACAAACACGCACACACACGAAGATGAAGGCTTACAGTCCTTAATAAATCCACACAGGTTATCCAGAAAGGGAAGGCTGGTGACACAAACACATAAATGTTAACTTAAGACCCGACAAACTCAAACTGCACAGACACCAATTTAAATAGACAGACCAAACAAGGATAATTAATAAGACACAGCTGAACCTAATGACGAAATCAAATCAATAACCATGACAACGGAAAAAGAAAGCAAACTGAGAGTCCAAACTGTGACAATATATATATATATATATATATATACGTGTGTGTGTGTGTGTGTGTGTGACCCTGGAAAACTACTGACTCTCTCACCAGACTAAGATTTGGTGACTGCCAAGTCAAATACATATGTGACCCTGGAGCACACACACACACACACACACACACACACAGACAGACACAGAAACGAGCTTCCATGTATGTAGGATCTGTTTGTCAGGGTTGTGTTGAGGTCAGAGGTTTGTCCAAGCACTCAGTCGTTATCTGGGATTTACGACAAAGTAACTAGTTTCAGCAGATCAAGAGTATTTAACTGTTTGACATTTAACATGCGTCATCCTGCTGTAAGTAGAGTCTGATTGGCTGTAGTCTGATCCAGATGTCACTAGTTCCTCCTAGTTCACTACAATACATGGATGCATTTTAATTTTGCTCGATTCCACAGCAACCACAAAATCCTGATGTGAGTTATGAGATCATTTTGACCAGCCGAGCTGATGGAGGACGTGAAGCGCCTCAGCAGTAGGCAGGGGAAGCGGACACACTGAGCCGAACAGGCGCAAAGCCACGGGAATCCGCACACGCTCCAAAGATACAGCTGGTGCAAACACTGGCTCTTAAAAATAACAATGTGCTTTTGCGCCAAGCTAAATGTGCTAATGACAGATCCACACCTTTAAGGACTCTTTTGGGCATTTAAGGGGGCGGCGGCGGGTGGGTTGAGGGTTAAGAAATGGGTTTGTCAGCGGGAGGGCCGAGCCAGTGGAAAAGCAGACGCTAACCGTGCCCGCTCTTTTCACAGCTCGAGAATCTCTGATGCAGCGAAATGCTAGGCGGTCTGGACGCTGGTCCAGTCATAGCACAGCACATTTTTTATTGAATTGTGCCTTGCAGACGGAGCTGCTAAGCATAGTCGGATTTCATTTCAGAGAGCTGGATGACCGATAGTAACCTATGATAGTTAGGCTTGCAGGATTTAATTGGTGGCGTAATATATTGTTATTGATTGCACCATCACTAAAAATCCCCTTGACAGCGGTGATTAAAAGTCATTGCAAAAATGGTTCAGAACTGAGGAATTGTCATATATGCAAGCATATATTTTTACTATAATGCAAAGATTAAATGTGTGACTTATTCAGCTTCTACCTGTATATATGTCTTGATA